AAATAGAAGAACCAATATTTACATTAGAAGGTGCTGTTATTCAACAAGTTCAAGGTGTACAATCTGGTCGGTGGTCAATGGAAAAAACAATTTATGATAAATTAAATCTAACAACTGATTTACCTAATACTGATCATAAAACATATTTAAATACAATCCTAAAAGATTATTGTATGAAAAGAGTATGGACTGATTCACCAATAATAAAAGATATATCACATTTACTTCCATCACCTAATCAAATTCTTAATAATCAACTTAATTCTATTAGTAATCAAGATTTAATTGAATCGATCGAACCATTTAATGAATTAACTACTTATTATGCTCAAATGGCAATAAAAGATCTTGATTTGAATCAACAACATCATCCATCATTAAATGCATGTCATTCTCTTGCTTCAACTGTACATGAAGAAGTAACATGGCATTCAACACAACTTCGTCTTATTCAATTAATTGAGCGTTTTCCTCGTTTAAAACCATTTTTAAACATATTAAACAAATATGGTTTACATTTAAAAGATATTCTTAGTGAAGAAAAAAATGGATTGGATATATTTCTTGGTGATGATGAAATTGAACAAATTTTTCATTCGATTTGTCAATATTTACAATTACAATATGAAAAACAATAACAAACTAAAGATAATTCATTTCAGAATTATCGATTACGTATATTTTGGTTAAGTGATAGTGATTGTTCAGATGTTTTACCTATTCTTGATCTTCTTCTTAATTTATCACAACAAACAGGTTTATTAATTGATTTGCATTATGCAGATTCTGATCCAACACAACTTGCAAATGCTCAACAAACATTTAATACACATCTAACTAATCAAACAAAAAATTTATCTATTATTTATGATGAAACAATTAATTTATATCATAGTAAAACACTTGAAAAAATTCCAGTAGAATCATTTGATATTATATTTTCTGCAAATCAACTTCAAGGAAATCAAGATTTAACAAATTCTTTAATTGCTCTTCGTCGTTTACTTGTTCCTAATGGTCTTCTTTTATTACTTGAATTAGTTCATGTTCCTCTTTATTTTGATCTTATTTTTTGTTTCTTTGATCAATGGTGGTCATCATCTGATGATAATAATCGTGCATTAAATAATATTCAACAATGGGTGATATTATTAGAACAAATCGAAGGATTTAATATTATTGAATCAACAACAAATCAAAATGAAAGTACATTTATTATTTGTCAAAAAACAATATCTAAGGAAATATTACAGACGCTTGATGAAAGAAAAAATCAAACATGGTTAATATTTATTACAGATGATAATAATAATATTCTATCATCATTATTACCATGTTCAAATATTAGAATTTTTGATATTCGTCATTCAACTTTAGATATTATTTGTTTTGGAATATCAGTTTTATTAACTACTTATAAACAAGTATCTGTTATATTTGCATGGCAACTTGATCAAAAATTACTTAATGAAAATAATGATGACGATTTAGCATTGAAACAAAATGAAGAACTTATATGTGGAACATTATCATGAATTCTTCAAACATTTCAAAAATCATCACCATATTTTTATCCATTTGTATATGTTCTGACAGATCATGCTCAATTTAATAATGATTCGAATCTTAATATAATTGCATCATCATTTATTGGTCTTGCACGAAGTTTAATAACTGAATATGAACGATATTGATTAGAATTTATTGATCTTCAAACATCATTAAATAATCAATCAATATTTCTTCATACTTTAATAGAATATATGGTTAATTCAAGATCATCAGCTGATACTTGTCAAGTTGTCCTTCGTCTTAATGATACAAATCAAAATGAAGTTCAACATTTAACATGGCATTATGAAATGTTACAAAATGATGATGAAGAAGAGAAATCTAAATACGAACAAATTTCTATTATTCCTAAACGAGATACTGATCAAAAACCATTTCGTATTTGTGTACCACAATCTCGTTTTCTTTCTGAATTAACATGGATTGAAGAAGATAGAGAAGAAGAATTATTACCATCAGATATCGTAGAAGTTCGTGTTCATTGTGTTGGTATTAATTTTCGTGATATACTCAAATCACGTGGTTTTTATCCACATACACGTACTTTTGCACAATCTGATGAAAATCAACCAAAAGTTAATCGAGATACAGAACCAGGTTCAGATTTTGTTGATACTATTGTGCATGTATGTTCTACAACCAGTTTTCAAGTTAATGATCATGTTATAGATGTTACTAGTGATGGTACATATCATTCTCATATTATGATTAATTCACAACTTATAATACGTATTCCAACACAATGTTCTCTGACCGATGCACAATTATCAGTTATGCCTGCTGTGTATTTAACAGTTATATATTCTCTTAATATCGTGTTCATTTACAAGCTGGTCAAACTGTTCTTATTCGTGCTGCAACAGGTGCTGCAGGACAATGGTGTATTCAATATTGTCAATATATTGGTGCTCGTGTTATTGCTACAGCTGGGACTGAAGAAAAACGACGTTTTCTTCGTGAACATTATGGTATTGAACATGTATTTAATAGTCGAGATACTTCTTTTGTCAACAATATACGTCGAATTCTCCCACAAGGTGTTGATGTTATTGTTAATTCATTATCAGGTAATTTACTCAAAGAATCAATTAAATTATTATCATATCATGGTTATTTTATTGAATGGGGTAAACGAGATATTTATCATAATAGTAATTTATCAATGTTTTAATTAAGATCAGATTCTATTTCACTTGCTGATCATGTATCACATTTACTCGTCTTATGTTTGAAGAAGCAATTGATTTATTGATTCAACGTAAATTATGTGCTGTTGAACCAACAATTTGTTATGAATCATCTCAAATAATAGAAGCATTATTAAGATGTAATAGTGGTCAAGTTATGGATAAAACAGTTTTTCGTATAACTTCATCCGATCAACCATTAAATATTCATAAAAAACAATCTAATAATTTATTAAAAGGTAATCATTTCTTCTTTTTTCTTTCGATTATTATTTTTTAATCAATAGTTGTAAGTGATAATACAATGTTTTTATTAGAAGTTTGTAATCAAGGAACAGTTTTAATATCTGGCGGTTTTGGTGGTTTTGATTTAACAATCTCTCGATGGATGATTGAAGAACGAGGCGTCAAATATATAGCACTTATGAGTCGTCGAACATTAGTTGAACTTGAAAAATCTTCAAATCCATAATATGATGATTGGTTAGAGTTAAAACGAACAATAAAACAATATAATGTTGATGTTGGTCAAGTAGATGTAACAAATTTTCAACAAGTTCATGATTTAATTGAAAGATTTAATAAAACTCCTTATCCTATTCGTGGTATTATTCATAGTGCTGTTGTTGCAGAAGATCGTGCTTTGAATAATTTAACACAAGAACATTTATCACTTGTTTTACCACCAAAAGTTCTTGGTGCATGGTATCTTCATCAAGCTACACAACTTCTTCATGCACCTATTCATTTTTTGATTATGTTTTCATCAATTCGAAATCATTTATTTGAAGTTGCATCTGCTGGTTATAATGCTGGGAATCAATTTCTTGATGTAATTTCTCATTATCGTTTTTCAAAACTTAATTTACCAGCACTTTCAATTAGTTTACCAGCTGTAAGTGGTGCTGGAATGTTTCATCGTCATAAAGAAATGCTCACTACTTTAAGAGTTACACAAGGTTTTGAATTAATGCCAACAATAACTGTATTCGAAATAATTGAATGTTTTCACCGAACTCAAAAGATTTGTCCGTGTCCTGTTATTTTTGCTGTTAATTGGCAAATATTATATGGAAAGTATGCAACATTAGCTACAACTTATTTAAGAAAAATAGTTGATCAACGTTATAAAGAGATGAAATTTGATCAAATATCATCAACATCATCAGAAAAAAATAATTCAACTGAGTCTAGTATGAATAAAAAAGAAACTATTATTGAACGAATTCAATCCGCTGTTGCACGATTATTAGGTGCAGCTAGTGTTGATCGTATAGTTATTGATCGTTCACTTGTTAGTCAAGGTATGGATTCATTAGCTACTGTTTCATTATATAATTGGTTAGGTCAAGAAACTGGCATTTATATACCATTAGTTGATCTTCTTCAAGGACTTTCAATTGAAACAATTGCAACACTTGTTTATAATGAACTTAATGAAAAAGAACAAACAACATCATCATCAGCTACAAAAGAATATGATTCAGATTTTGATTTAATTAATGAAAATGAAGTTCAATTATAAAATACATCAACATATACTGGTTTAGAAAATATTATTTGTCTACATCGTTCGAATCAAAATAATACTTCAACTCTTTTTTGTATTACTCAAATATCAAATGATAATAATAATGAAGATTTATTTGCATTATTTATTCAGAAATCATCTAATCAAAAAATAAAATATTATCAAATGATATGTATGCTTTACAAATATTATCATCTCTTTCTTCATCCTCTATATCTACATATGCTTAAATTTTATTACACAAATGCGTCGTATTCAATCATGTGGATCTTGTCAAATAGTAGCTACTCGAAACAAACCAGAAGAAACTATTGCTCATGAAATGTTAGAACAACTCAGAATACATTCATTCATTAATAATACTCGATTACATGTTTTAGATGCTCAAAATTAAAATATATTCGCAAGTATCTTATTTATTCAAGTATTTATAATTTATTCACTTCTAAACTTCTTATTTCTTTTCTTATTCATTAAATCTATTTCATATATATTAGTTGTCGTAGTAGAAAAACATTTGTAGATTTCTTAACAATTAAAACTGAGAAATTTTTTCGGTAAAAATCTTAAATTTTATTTTTCTATTAAACATAAACCAGTTTCATCATCAATCATATGAATGCACTTTTAAATAAATCTGTCAATCAATAGACTTACAATTATCATTAATAATACATATATGTAATACTTAAAAAACATTTTAATTTTATCATTTCTATGCAAAAAACAAAAGTTCGAATTTGAATTGTTTGGTACATTTTGATTTATTAAAACTTCGTAATAATACTCATCAAACTGGAAAAACTTTGAAGTTAAGACAGCAGCTTCCGATAGTTATCATACTATGACGTGTGATTAAGACACATATTTATTATTTTTATATATTTAGCCATTACTAGCAAATCCATCGACAATAAACTCACCTACAAACGTTCCACCGGCTACTACTACAACTAATTCTTCAGTCGTTCCAATATTATCTAGGTCATCATCAAATAATTTATTTGATGATTCAATTGATCATGTCTGGGTATCATTTCCTTTACCCATCACATCACACACATTCAACATCGAATTCATCCAAACGACCACGTACAAGTACAGCTAGTGCTAAACAAACTACTACAGCACCTAAAAAACTTTTTTCATATACACTTTATGATCGAAAATATTTCTTTCAACATTATCACCATACAAGTGGTATACGATTAAATGATAGTAATCATGATAATGAAACCACTTATTATACGGATATTACACGTGAATATGCTGGTTCAGTTGAACAATTATTTAAAATCTCACTTGAATATGCTGGTGTTGAAATATCCGTTTCATCATCAATTGAACCATTATTCGAAAAATTAGGCCAAACAGTCCTTGCTTCAGCACAAATTACACGATTTGATGTTAAAATTTTACCAAATGAATCAACAAATGAATGTCAATCATTAATCCGTCATCCTCCATAATCACCACCATCAGTCGTTCAATTTCGTTCACCACATATTCGTCAATAAATATTAAATACATCAAATGAATTAGCAATACTTTCCGTAACTAATTTAAGTATTCAAAGTGTTTGTCGACAATCACTTGAATATGATCAATTACATTCTGCTAATGTACAAGCTGGTATACGTGTTCAACGTGTACAACAAGAAGTTAATTTATCATTCATGCATTTTGTTTATCAATTTTATACAGTTGTTGGTAATGCACTTGAATATACAGATATTGATGAAATAACAGAATCAGATACAAATACAAATGAACAACAGAATATCTACTATTCTTACACCTGAAAGTGATATTCAAACTCTTGTTTTAAAATTACTTGAACCGATTATTCTTCATCTTGCTAATAATTATTTAGATAATTCTGAGCGACAACGTTGGAAAAAATTACATGAACTTGTTTCTAATTATAGAATTGTACTTAAAATAAAATCAATCCCACCATCAATAATAACACGAAAACAACAACGAAGTGATTCACAACCACCAAATGAACATGTACCACAACAACAACATCCAACACGTTATATGGCAATAAATGTAACAAATGAAACACTTACTTTCATCGTTTGGCTGGTTAATTATTGATGAAATATATTATGCAGCTTCTTTAGGTGGTTTAAAAGTTGATGGTTGTATGAGAAAAATTCAAGGAAATGTTAATTTATCACAAAGACTTCGAGCTTTACAATCAACAACAAATAATCAAAATACAAAGAAGTAAGATGAAGATTAATATTACATTTAAGAAAACCTTAAATTTAACAATACGATGAAACTTTTTTATTATTTCGTACGTTTTGTGAGACGAGACTGATAGTATGGTTTGTAGAGCTCATTCGCAGTCGTAGAAAATATAAAATCAATTTATTAAACTTTCTTCTATATTCACTGCTTTATTTTAGATTAAATCTAATATTTAGATATGATGGTTCATTAGTTTTTCAAATTGGTTCAACATCTTTTTCTTTAAAAGAAACTCTTTCTACGTCTACCGATAATCTTTCATCGACAGATATCTGTTTTTGATATAATTGTTGATAAACCTCAAGCATCAACATATCTTCAAACACGTCGTATTAATTTAATATTAAGTGTTGTAACAAATATGGATACAACTACAATGGATGTACCATTAAGGCCACAAGAAGTTCATGATCTTATTAGTCGTGCTGGTCGTTTAATAACATCTTATGTTCGAGAATTTCTTCCCAATGATACACAACAAACATCTTCAATACAAACAACAGCTAATACAGATAATAAATTAATTAATACAAGTTTAAATGATACTATTGAAGAGCCTCATATACCAATTCCATTAGAACAAACAACAACAAAAAAACGTCTAAGTACACGTCGTAATGATACAATTAATCGCACTATTAATCCACGTTCATTAGAAACACAACAAAATATATCTACATCATCAAAATGACCTATATTAGAAGCTAATATAAACAGCAAATTGTCAAGGAATGATATTTTCTACAACACTTCTCTCAATATTAAAATTTTAATATAAAATAGGTGTTGCTAATATTGGTGGAATGAAATCACGTTTTACAGCTATTATACATAAATGAACGTGCTTTACATTTTTTAAATAATAATAATCATGATCATCAACAACCTCCAATAGTTAATTCAGATAATTATATACGAATTGATTTTCCTGAAATACGTTGGTATGGAAATTATTCTATTCAACAAGAACAAGAAAATAAAACAAAAGGTGGTTTAAATCTTCGAACAAAAATTGATGTACTTAAATTAACAATAACAGCTGATTTTCTTGCACAATTAGTTTTTGTTTTAAAAGTAATTATACATGAAATAAATGAAATTCTTGCAAAAGTTTCTGGATTTGATCAGTTTCATTTTGGAACAACAAAAGATTCATGTTTATCATCATCATCAACAGTACCTATTATACGTATTGGTTCAACAGATACAGAAAATGAGGATGACGATGAACGAGGAAAAGATCAACCAACAATACCATCAACATTGTTTACATATTAAATAGATATATCAATGAAAGGTTTCGAAGTTATGGGTCAAACGCCATCAAATACAATAGTTAAATTTGAAAATGGTGATAAAAAAGTACCAAT